GCTTGGACTGATTAAAAGAAACCTTTTTAGTTACGTGGCTTTTGGCTTTCATTCCTGGATGGAGAAGGGGGGTCAGAACAGCAATATATACCACCTTGAATTATGTATAAAATAAAAATAAAGGTGGGACAATGAACAAATAAATATTTCCACCTGTTTCCTGTTCAATGTTCCTTTTTATCTCCTGTTGAAAGTCCTAAATCATTTATCACTTCAGCTGCATGCTCATTGCTTGCTTGCTTAAATAAAATCAATTGCCTACCAGTTGGTTTCACTTCCTTATTTTTGTAATTCTCATCTAGTCTTGTGTAGTCTTATCTAACTGTGATATGCTCTTTGGCTTGCCTATTCTCATGCATATATGCTTTTATCTCTCTGGGCTAATTTACACCAGTATGTGTTTTTTTTTAGTTCGATAGTTGCCACAAAACATTATTCTGGGGACAAAATGTACACTATTCAAATTGTTGGAGAAAAACAATATCACTGTTACGATTGTTGTAATTGTTTTTTTCTTTTATATTTATTTAGATTTAGTTTTTGTTTAAATTGCCTACTCTTATCCTAAAAACATTTTAAAGAAACTGTAATAGTGAAGCAGAATCCTTCTTTCACACAGCATAGTAGTCTACATGGGGCTGCCCCTGAAAAGTGTTCGGAGACTACAGTTGGTCCAGAACGCAGCTGTGCGAGAGATATCAGGTGTACCTAGATACACCCATGTCACACCCATCCTCCGCGAGCTGCACTGGCTTCCGATCGGTCTCCGAACGCGCTTCAAGGTGCTGGTCATCACCTTTAAAGCCCTACATGGCCTAGGACCTGGATATCTGAGAGACCGCCTCCTGCCACATATCTCCCAACGGCCGATAAGATCTCACAGGCTGGGCCTTCTCCGGGTGCCGTCGACCGGACAATGCCGGCTGGCGGCCCCTTGGGGGAGGGCCTTCTCTGTAGCTGCTCTGACCCTGTGGAATGATCTACCCGTAGAGATCCGGACCCTTCCCACTCCCTCGGCTTTCCGAAAAGCTACTAAAACCTGGCTATTCCGGCAGGCCTGGGGCTCTTGACTTCATGAACGAGGTCCAGCCCCACCCAGATTGAGTGTATGGTGTGTTGTTTTTAAATTGTTTCTCTTTTTCTATTTTTAACGCTTTATTTTAATCTTGTTCTGTAAGCCGCCCGGAGTCCTACGGGATTAATAAATTTATTAAAAGTTAAAAGTTAAAGTTATATGCATATATTCAGAAATAAGTCCTGATGTTGTCAGTGAGGTTTAGCATTTAGTAAGCCTGTTAGGAGGTGCAGATTTAATATATTGTACTCTTAATTATTAAGTGAAAAGTTCCTTGTAGTTAGGATATGAATGTTGAAAAGAAAAGTACTTCAATTTTAATGCCTTTTTCATTGGAATTAAAATTGTTTCCATTTTATTAATGGAACCACTAGCATTTGAAGGGAAAATTAGGAAATGCTATATGCTGAAATGTTTTCCTCTTTATGGACTAAAACAAAATTTGAAAATAACTGCATATTTTAGATTGGTTAGTTGTCTAAAAAAGTATAGCATAAACAGGTGAAATATTATACACTGTAAAATCTTACAGTGTATAATCTTATATGTGTGTGTGTATGCGTGGATTAAGCTTCTCTATGAGCTAGACAGTAATGTTTTTGCATGTTAGTAAGGTTCACATATTAAATGTGTGCTCAACTCTCCATCCTGTCCCTGTCATCAGTTAGTTCCAGTGAGAGCAGGGATAAAATCTGCACCATCAGTTTTATTACCGGAGTATTTGAAGACTGGTAAAAAAGCCAACCCAAATGCAAGATGTCAGACTATACCAAACAATACTGGAGGGAAAAAAAATAGTCCCAGGGTTAGAAATTATGGAAAATTAAATGTCTTGTTCTAATTTCATAACTCCTAAAATAGTCATTTTAAATGCAGAGTATAATCCATGGAATTATTTATATACTCCTAGATTTTCTAACATTACAAATTGAGTATTGCAGATAAAATCCCAGTATTCTGAGATTTCCTCTTGGTAGAAAAGAACGCCTGGATAATTTTAGTATGCTTAGTATTTCATAACTCCATTCAGGTACATAATACTTGATCTTATATCTTGACATTTTTATTTCTTAACTTTAGGAGCTGGCCTAAACGATTCTGGTCATCTTACAGTTTGAAAAAGAATAATATTTTTAAAAATCAATAGCACACCGATACCATGGAATGCTGATAGTACTCTTTAACCCCAAACCCTAAGAGAACAGAGATATTTTTAAAATTCCTTGGACTCTCATTGGAAGAGATACAGATAACTGGGTGGGCATCATTCCACAGAGTAGATGCTATACAGAGAAGGCATGCTTCCTGGGTCTCAATTGGACCCTGGACACCTGTTTAAAGCAAAAGTGGAACACAACCATGGCATGCTGCGGCTCTTTAAAGAACAGACAATATATAGAAAAAAATGGTTTAATTATTTTGCTTAGTAAATTTAATCTATGACAGTCAGAATATCCCAGTGATCTTAAATGTTCTTGAAAAAGTAGGGTTGGAATTGGTTAGGTTAAATAGAAGATTACCAGAAAATCCCATAGCTGTAGATTAGGTTGGGAAGACTAGATTAGAAAGTTGTAAGCATCCCAGGGAAGAAGGCGGGGCTTAGCAGTGAGAAGACGGATTTTCAGGCTATTCCTGAAATTCCCCTATTCCGAAGGAACTTGGAGGGATGAT